TCTGTCATAGTCGTTGGGTGTTGGGGGGTAGTTAAGCTAATTTCATTAGAACCTCAGAAGTTTGGGATTGCTTGGGGTTTCTCGGCTCGGGGTTCAGTACCTATACTAGTATGGGAGAGACTCGGCCACTAACACTTTCCCTCTATGGTTTCGGGTTCCGCACTCAGGATTCAAGGGTGAGGGTCATCACCCGAAATATTGAGCAAAAAAGCCGTGAAGCCTGGCTTGAACCCTGATCCCGTAAACCCGAGGCGCGCCCGAAACCTATTACTTAAGCCCTAAACCCCGAAACCCAGAGTGTGGGGCTGTCGACTTCAGAATTCAGATATGGCCGAGGCCCTCCACCGTAGGTCATTTTCGGGCACTTGGGGGTGATAGGGGGGGGGGGGGGGGGGGGGGNNCTGGGCGCTGCCGGTATTCGGATTTAAAGGAGGCTTTGAACTATCTTTCCCCGGTTGCATGTGTCGATGGAGCCTCGAGTTTTGCACATCTGGTTGACCCTAGGCCCTAAACCCCAAACCCNNCCCAAACCCCTAAACCCTAGACCCTAGACTTCTCTGCCTGCAAGCTCGCTCACAGGCTGTTGTCTACATGGCCGTGGCCTGAGATGGGCCGTCAAAGTCTTCGGTCTCAGGATTCCGGTGCTGAGGCCAATCGGACCAGAGGTTTGTTCAATCCCTTGTGCTTTTAGGAAGGGTTTAGGGTTTAGGGTTTAGAAAGTCGCCAAAAACTCGTGCAGACAGACCTCCGAGAAAGCAAAGCCTCGCTAGCCTGAAACCCGATACCCCGCCCTCGTCACTGGGCCCGGTCTTCGGAGCAGTAGACGCCAAGGCGGAATCATCCCGGAACTGTTGTGTTCACGGTTTAGCGTGCTTGTAGGTTTATGCATAGGAGCCACCCAGTGACACCTTAAATTAAACCTTCTAAGCCCCAAATTCCAAAAGGAGGGTCCAAAGGTTGTTTTCCTTGTTGCAGGCCTTGCGGCCCGAGCTCGGGCTTCGCTTTGAGCCAACTGTTCCTTGCAGTAGCAATCTCTTGGTGAAGAAAGACTAGGGCCCCTATGTAGCCATAGCATCCTGGATCAGTCCCTGGCTTTATATCCTCAGTAAGCCCTTTTTGCATGCGGGTAAACCCTAAACCCTGAAACCCCTGTCTCCTAGCCAGGTGGGAAGCCAACAAAAAAACCCAAAGCTTCAACCCTGGAAGCACGAAAGCCTAGTCATGTATAGGGCAAAAACAGGTCTGATTCGACCCTCCACCTTGCAAACCTAAACCCTAAAACCCTAAACCCTAAATCCAGACCAAGACTGTTCCGCCCACTTACCCTGCAATGTGGGCTCGTCCTTGCTAAGTAGGAGGGAAAAATCCAGACCAAGGCAGCTCACTGCATATTCCAGCTCGGTGCGTTACGCGACTTGGGAATCCCAGTCGGCGGCACGCAAGGACTCGTGAAGCTGCAAGGGAGTCGAGGGCTTTACCCATAGGCTCCATAGCAGTCCCTTTTTTGGGAATCATATTTGGGATCCTATAAGGTAACCCCAAAAAGGAACTACTTAGGGGCCTATGGGTACTGTAGGGTTTGAAAGCAAAGCGTGTCCATGATTCATTGGTAACCTAGATCAACCTTCCGAAGGCCCCAGTGTTTCAAACCAGGAACCAGTCTACTCTACGTTTGCAGCCGTTCCTCCCGAGAACGCGAGATCCCTGATTACTGAAACCTCCCAGGCATATGGCATAAACCCTCGACCCACCAAGTCAATCCTAATTTCCTGAGCCCAATATGTTGGGAGATTCGTGCGTCGGGTCCTGGGATTTCTCTAATTAGGGTTTGCTGACATGAACGAAACCCCACAAGACCCTGAGATGGCTGGCAAGAGATAGAAGCGAGACTTAGAAACTATCTACGACATTAGATCCTCACCGCCCGACCTTCGAAACACCCAGGAACCTTAGGGTTTAGGGTTTAGCCCTAACCTCTTGCCCGACAAACCCCACAACCCGAAAACCCTCAACCCTAAAACCCCAAGCCCTAAAACCCTAAACCCGAAAACCCTAAACCCTTAAACCCTAAACCCTAAAACCCTAAAACAGTAAAACCCTAAAGCCCTAAAGCCCTAATCCCTTAAACCCTAAACCCTTAAACCCTAAAACCATAAAACCCTAAAACAATAAAATCCTTAAACCTCAAACTTATAAACCCTAAAACCCTAAAACAGTAAAACCCTAAAGCCCTAATCCCTTAAACCCTAAACCCTTAAACCCTAAAACCATAAAACCCTAAAGCAATAAAACCCTTAAGCCTCAAACTTATAAAACCTAAAACCCTAAAACAGTAAAACCCTAAAGCCCAAATCCCAACGAAGCGCATGGCCAGGACTCTTCTTCATGGCCTGGGCCTTATTTTTTTCGGCTGCGGGTTGGAGGGTTGCATGTTTTAGGGTTTTAGGGTTTAGGAGTTTAGGGGCTTAGGGTTTAAGTTCTGTAGTGCTTTTGTCGGTGTCTGGTCAAG